GACATCGATACCTAAAAGGCAAGGGGACTGGACAACATCTCCCCGTGGGTCCTTAGAGAGGGAGCAGATATGTTGTGCGTGCCACTTACCACAATCTTCAACACGTCCCTGGAAACTGGCAACTACCTGAGGTATGGAAGACGGCAAATGTAGTTCCCATTTTTAAAAAAGGAGACAGAAAAGAGGCACTAAAAATATAGACCTGTGTCATTGACGTGTATAGTATGCAAAATTATGGAGAAGATTATCAGGAGGAGAGTGGTGGAGCACCTGGAACGGAACAAGAGTATAAATGCCAACCAGCACGGATTCACGGAAGGCAAATCTTGTGTCACAAACCTTCTGGAGTTTTATGATAAAAAAACAGAAGTAAGACACGAGAGAGAGGGGTGGGTTGATTGCATCTTCTTGGACTGCAAGAAGGCCTTTGACACAGTTCCTCACAAGAGATTAGTGCAGAAGCTAGAGCATGAGGCGCATATAACAGGAAGGGCACTGCAATGGATCAGAGAATACCTGACAGTGAGGCAACAACGAGTCATGGTACGTAATGATGTATCACAGTGGGCACCTGTGACGAGCGGGGTCCCACAGGGGTCGGTCCTAGGACCAGTGCTATTTTTGGTATATGTGAACGACATGATGGAAGGGTTAGACTCAGAAGTGTCCCTGTTTGCAGGATGATGTGAAGTTAATGAGGAGAATTAAATCTGATGAGGACCAGGCAGGACTTCAAAGAGACCTGGACAGACTGGACACCTGGTCCAGCAAATGGCTTCTCGAATTTAATCCTGCCAAATGCAAAGTCATGAAGATAGGGGAAGGGCACAGAAGACCACAGACAGAGTATAGGCTAGGTGGCCAAAGACTGCAAACCTCACTCAAGGAGAAAGATCTTGGGGTGAGTATAACACCGAGCATGTCTCCGGAAGCACACATCAATCAGATAACTGCTGCAGCATATGGGCGCCTGGCAAACCTGAGAACAGCATTCCGATACCTTAGTAAGGAATCATTCAAGACACTGTACACCGTGTATGTCAGGCCCATACTGGAGTATGCAGCACCTGTTTGGAACCCGCACTTGATAAAGCACGTCAAGAAACTAGAGAAAGTACAAAGGTTTGCGACAAGGTTTAGTTCCAGAGCTAAGGGGAATGTCCTATGAAGAAAGATTAAGGGAAATCGGCCTGACGACACTGGAGGACAGGAGGGTCAGGGGAGACATGATAACGACATATAAAATACTGCGTGGAATAGACAAGGTTGACAAAGACAGGATGTTCCAGGGAGGGGACACAGAAACAAGAGGCCACAATTGGAAGTTGAAGACACAAATGAGTCAGAGATAGTAGGGAAATATTTCTTCAGTCATAGAGTTGTAAGGCAGTGGAATAGCCTAGAAAATGACGTAGTGGAGGCTGGAACCATACACAGTTTTAAGACGAGGTTTGATAAAGCTCATGGAGCGGGGAGAGAGAGGGCCCAGTAGCAACCGGTGAAGAGGCGGGGCCAGGAGCTAAGACTCGACCCCTGCAACCACAAATAGGTGAGTACACACACACACACACACACACACACACACACACACACACACACACACACACACACACACACACACACACACACACACACACACACATACACACACACACACACACACACACACACACATCACACACACACACACACACACATACACACACACACACACTTACAGGGGCCAGGATCTAGGACTCGACCCCTGCAACCACAAATAGGTGAGTACACACACACACACACACACACACACACACACACAAGGGAAGCACTAATCCAGGAGGGTTACACAGGGCCTTGAAAATGGGAGGCAATTAATTTTGATCAGAGAAAGAGGGAGAGTAACTCCACTGAAGACTTTTAAGATCTTCTACACACTCGTCTCAATGTCTTGGCATTTCCAGTGACGACCCTTGTTGCACACCCTTGTTGCACGCCCTTGTTGCTCACCCTTGTAATGGAAGTACTTAAATATCATAATTACTGTCGTTTTGGAGAGAATGTTTTGCATTTACGTTTTACACTTCAATGTTATTATGTATACTGCATTAAAATAACGGTAGCAAGCATGAATACAAGGTGTGGAATGTTTTCACAGTAATGGTGGGTCCTAAATAACGCTGATAGAAATATATGTCACCATATTACGCCACAGGACACATATTCTGCCCTACTCAGTGTTGTAATAACCAGTACCAGCAGTATACGCGAATTCTTTTGAATACAGTTAATATGTATGGGGAAATTTAAATGCAGGTGTTATGTGCAGTGGCGTGATTTTATAATATTGTTCAGTGAGCACCCTTTGTAATACTAACACAGTTCACCAGTTCATTAGAGAACATAAGAAAAAAGGAACACTGCAGCAGGCCTACTGGCCCATGTGAGGCAGGTCCAAGTCACCCCTAGAGGGTTGAGTGTATCCTATTTCCAGCTGTAAATACGTGCATGCGAATATATCTCTACGGTAAATAGATGTTTTGGGGTGTAATCCCGATCGGCGCTATCAATGCTAAGTATAGACAAGTTCAGGGTGGAGGAAGTGCAGATACAGGGTCGGTTGTGTAACCCTAACACGCCACACTAGCAACCCTACACAACTGACCCAGTATCAGAATCCCCCACCTGCTTATTTTGTATTGTTTAAGGTCAGTTATCATCACAAGCTGTTATCATGGAAATCAACTTTCTTCACTCTAATCTTAATTTATTTCCCATCCTGTTGTCACGTTTACCATCTGTGCTTTGGATGTATAATTGTAATGATGTATAATAGTAATGATGTATAATAGTAATGATTTATAATGATAATGTATAATAGTAATGATATATGAAGTGTAAAGTAAAATGCTAAACTCCAAAACAAGTATTGACACTTCCACAAGCCCTTCATACACTCACAGTCTCATAATTCCTTGGCATTGTCTCTCATGAACTCTTTGGCACTGCTTCACACTCGTGTCACTATCATTAACACTTTGTACTCCCTTATAAACTAAATGGTTATATCTATGACCACAGTTTTTAAAGGGGTGGACCGGTAAGCCAGCGGAAGGCCTCGGTCAGAGCTCCAACCGCGAGTCATCATATGATTAAAACCATTGTCAGGAAACACTTGTCCTGTTGCCTGACGAACCTTATCTAACCTTATAAACTGTTTTATAAACTCTTGGCATTATTTCCCATAAACTCTTCACACTCTCTTATAAACTTTTTACATTGTCCCTATATAAAATTCTTGGCATTGTCTTTAATAAACCCATGGCACTACCACTCGTAAACCTTAGAAACTCTTGTCAGTCTCTGTCTTAAACCTTTGACAACAACTCTCACAAATCCTTTGTACTGTCTCTAATAAGTTCCTGGCAGAATATTAAATTCCAGGTACTCACACTTTCATTGACTCTCCTCCTTGAAACATCTCATCACTAGACAATTTCCCGTAAAATCCACACATTTTTTTTTAAGGGCTACTACAGCTTACGTCAAAAGGCCTCTGCTTCCCTGGAGGTCTTACCTTAAAGGAGCCAGCAGAGGACACCCTACTGAGACCACCTATGGCGATGGCATTATCCAGGTCAAGTGGTATTTTACTGCCACAACACCGGTCAGGAATATCCATGCGAGTCTCCTGTAAGTGGAACAATCATCAGCTGCAAATCAGACTTGGTGATGACGGTGCTGTTCGTCAGACAGAAAAAAAATGTGTCTCTAGACGAGCATTTTAGTTAAAAGACCCACCCAGTGTAAACTATTCTCGCCACCACGACACGCGTTCATATTTGAATGTTCAGAAGCCCTGCTCAGCCACCGAGTTGCCAGAAGAATCACAAACGATTTATTTTATTTGTTTTAGTGCATAAATAAAAAACTTACGTTAAATAAAAAAAATGTATGTGTAAGTTTTCAAGGATAGTTCAGAAATTAACAATGAGAATTGCGTTAGGTTAATGAACGTGGTCATACAGTATAAGGATAATTTGTTCAGTGGGAAGTAATCCCTGGCTTACTATCGTAAGGGATCCACCTCACGTTCCGGTGTTAGGGGATCCACACCTTACGTACTGGCGTTTGGGATCCACCTCCTTCACAGTATCAATATATCCTATTTTGTCCTACTTGTAATCGAGGATGCCAACAAGCCCAACACACCTATGTCAGTAAACTTCTCGCCTCTCAGTGAACTCTTTCCCGGCTGTCAGTGACATGACTAACGGTATTCAACACTCTCTTGACAAGATATCCAATAGCAAATTCTCGAGATATCGTTCAATGCAACTTTGTTTGGCTGTAGACATTTAATCTGCTGACATTTGAAGCATGGAGGTCACATTCCCTATTATTTTTCTGTGAACGGGGTCAGCTAGATTTTTTCCTCTCAGTCTCCCAGCAGGAGATCGTGTTGTCCAGAGATTAGGAGCACTTGAGCAATATTGTTGCAGGTGCATGATATAATGGTGGCAAAATTTCATCACTTTTATGCTGTTTGTTGATGAAGCGAGTCTATAATTACTTGTTTAAGATCACCAGTCATGAAGCTCTCCTTCTGTGACGTCACCACAGAAAACAAACTTCCCGCGTAATAATATGACGTTAATAATATATAAACAAGATCCCGGGAAACCACGTGACGTCAGCAAAGTAAATATATTTCACTGGCAATGTTAGTAAACCCAGCCAGCAGAGGATCTCTCACTCTTAAACATTAAAAAAAAAGTAGAGAGGGGCGGGGAACATCCTGGAACACACTTCATCAACACATATTTACGTCTAAACAGTTTTATTTTCAAATAAGTTCCATATTAGTGTCGGCGTTGCAGCCTTGAATAGCAAAAATAATTTACAGTATTTCATTAAGCTTTTTCTTTTCAGTAAGAATTGGTGCATGCTCGAGCCTCCGTCCAATAATTACCGTCTAGTGTCTGACCACTCAGACTGTACCATACTGTTGGTGATCACAATCGTATACAAAACTGTTTCATGCACAGTTAGGGAATATTTTATTGGTGTCATATAAAAAAACATAATTAAAAGAGTCTAGCAAGACCATCACTGGTCATTATTATAATTTAATTTACAGAATATTTCAACACTTACAATGTCATCGTCAGGGATGTCGAGTCTTGAAGTGTCATAGCCTCGGGACATGTGAGGGTCGTTCGCATCCATTGAATTCGTTTCCCTGAAGTCGCTGACCTGATGTTTCTCAGGAGTTTCCATCTCCGGCTGAACGTTGAAAGTTGAGTTACTGGAAGAGGAGACAGGGGAGGGGAAAGAGGAAATGGAGGAGGATGAGGAGATGGAGGAGGCTCTGTTTTCATCTGCTCTGTGAATGCCGTGGTTAGAAGTCTTGTTATCACGAGGAATGTATCGTAAATCTTCATGGGATCTCACGGAACCTTCGTTGGATGTACGTTTTGTTGCTCTCAGCAAGTTGTTTGAACGTTCACTATCTAAGTCTTGACTGCTGCTATGATCCCTACTTGCAGAGGTTCCTGGGGACTCTCCTGTGTAATGAGAATTTGGAGAATCTGCTAGATAGCTCTTGGACGTTGCCATATTTGCCTGCTTGTAGCTGCCCAGTCTTCTATGGTAAGCTAAAGAGGATATCGCAGGCGAGGCTTCGGAATTCCCTCTGTATAACTCCCTAATTTGATGATTTCCCCGAGGGTTCTGAAAGACACTACTGCTCGATCCTCGATAGGTTTTCTTCGACGTCTCAGAATTCTTGTGGTTCATACGATGTGTCGGTCTCCCTCCTGTTGCTTCTGATCGTTCTTTGCCATTGTTACTGTTGTCAAACGTGTTGGTGCGAGGTCTCCCGGGATGTGCTTGACTTCCTCTGTGGTAGGTACGAGCTGCATCTCCTCTCTCCGAGTGCGCCACAGTGCCTCTGAGCCCGCCTGACGTGTAGGTGTCTACGGAGTTGTGTCCTGAAGAAAGCACGTCACTCCTGAACCTGTGCCTGGCCTCGTGACGATCTGCTGCCTTCAGTGGTGGTCGCTGGCGAGAGACTGGGATCCACGCACTATTCTGCGAGTCCAGTAAGAAAGTATCAGAAAATATGTGCACCGACTGTTTTATTTTTATTAGTAAGAATATTTCCATGCTTCACACAAAAACAAATATTTCTACTCTGATCTTTTTCTTGGTTAAAGCTTGGAGGTGGAACTTCTTACATATACATATGTTTTCTAAATTCAACATATGTACTTCAATGGTATAATAGTACACATGCCTTAATTTTATTGCATGAGTACTATCATAACCTTAATTTTTAGGATATATAAATGTATGAACAAATATAAGGAAAAAAGTAAATCTAATTCCCCCAAAAGCAATTAAATATATTATATATATATATATATATATATATATATATATATATATATATATATATATAATATATATAATATATATATAATATATAATAATAGTATGGAACAATTATCATTAAACGCTCTTCTTCACTCACCTGTGTACCGAGTACCTTATAAGCAGTGTGCGCACTCTGGTGCTTCCTGGAGGTGAATCCTGGCCTCTCGTTCTGTGACCTCCTCCTCCAGTTGTCAGAGACATCACTAAAGTTATGCTGATCCCTACTCTTTTTCACTCCAATGATCTGTCGTATTTCGAGAGTTCTTGCTTCATTTTTAACGTTGAAAACTGGGCCAGGGTAAGCGTGGATATTAGAAGGGGAGGTGTTGAGGGAGGACTCGTAAGCGGCAGCTACTCTGGAGGAATCTTGGGTGGAAGTTTTATCAACTTGAGGCATGAAACTCCCGCAACAGAGGTCTGGTCGGTCTCGTACAGACACCTGAAACAAAGCACATGTCGAGGGCTTGTGGTTAAAGGTTGGAAAAGCCTAGCTGGGAGACCAGCGGTTTTCTCACGCTGTATGATCCTACACAGGTTAAGCATTTCGCATAAATTTAATAAATTTGTGTACAAAGTATCCCGGTATCTGGTGTGTCAGTCGTTTTGGAATACCTGATGGATACACGTTGGACACCTATGTATTGTTTCGGGGATCACTGGTTCCCCCCCGGCCTTCACATCATGTGTATTACGTGTCTGTAATCTTGGTACCCGCTGGTGTTAGGGCCTTAATCACGGAGAGCAAACATAATATAGGTACACCAACACACATGATATAACATCACTTGTTACATCAGGTATTTGACAGACAACTTAGATGTAAGATATGTTACACAAAATTAATTAAAATCTATTACATGACACAGTATGAGTCAGAGTAAATGTGTGTTTCTTTATAGGTCAAGTAGAGAAATTCAAAGTATGGGATCACTGGGGTGATCCTATACCAAGATGCGCGGAAGCTTACCTCTCCATCTGTCATCTTCTGCTCGTGCCTGTGCCGCGCCTCCACGCCCACACCCACGCCCGACACACTGACCACCACCCACGCCCATACATGCACCTTTAGCCTCATTTTGATGCCTTTGTAAAACAAGAAGGATAAATGAGAGAGTGGGATAAAAATATAAATTATATAAATAGTGAGAGTAGTGATGAAATAGTACTGAAGATTTCAACAATGCAAAACAAACCGACTATCTATCTATCTCTATATGTCTACCTATCTATCTATAGAAAACGTCACATTGGAAACAGAAACGGGAAAACATGAGTGCTTCCAAGCGCGTACGCATATATACATGTATATCTATCTATCTATCTATCTATCTATCTATCTATCTATCTATCTATCTATCTATATATATATAATATATATATATATATATATATATATATATATATATATATATATATATATAATATATATATATATATATATATTTTAATCACACTGGCCGATTCCCACCAAGGCAGGGTGGCCCGAAAAAGAAAAACTTTCACCATCATTCACTCCATCACTGTCTTGCCAGAGGGGTGCTTTACACTACAGTTTTTAAACTGCAACATTAACACCCCTCCTTCAGAGTGCAGGCACTGTACTTCCCATCTCCAGGACTCAAGTCCGGCCTGCCGGTTTCCCTGAACCCCTTCATAAATCTTACTTTGCTCACACTCCAACAGCACGTCAAGTATTAAAAACCATTTGTCTCCATTCACTCCTATCAAACACGCTCACGCATGCCTGCTGGAAGTCCAAGCCCCTCGCACACAAAACCTCCTTTAACCCCCTCCCTCCAACCTTTCCTAGGCCGACCCCTACCCCCGCCTTCCTTCCACTACAGACTGATACACTCTTGAAGTTATTCTGTTTCGCTCCATTCTCTCCACATGTCCGAACCACCTCAACAACCCTTCCTCAGCCCTCTGGACAACAGTTTTGGTAATCCCGCACCTCCTCCTAACTTCCAAACTACGAATTCTCTGCATTATATTCACACCACACATTGCTCTCAGACATGACATCTCCACTGCCTGCAGCCTTCTCCTCGCTGCAACATTCATCACCCATGCTTCACACCCATATAAGAGCGTTGGTAAAACTATACTCTCATACATTCCCCTCTTTGCCTCCAAGGACAAAGTTCTTTGTCTCCACAGACTCCTAAGTGCATCACTCACCCTTTTCCCCTCATCAATTCTATGATTCACCTCATCTTTCATAGACCCATCCGCTGACACGTCCACTCCCAAATATCTGAATACATTCACCTCCTCCATACTCTCTCCCTCCAATCTGATATCCAATCTTTCATCTCCTAATCTTTTTGTTATCCTCATAACCTTACTCTTTCCTGTATTCCTTTCAATTTTCTTCTTTTGCACACCCTACCAAATTCATCCACCAATCTCTGCAACTTCTCTTCAGAATCTCCCAAGAGCACAGTGTCATCAGCAAAGAGCAACTGTGACAACTCCCACTTTATGTGTGATTCTTTATCTTTTAACTCCACGCCTCTTGCCAAGACCCTCGCATTTACTTCTCTTACAACCCCATCTATAAATATATTAAACAACCACGGTGACATCACACATCCTTGTCTAAGGCCTACTTTTACTGGGAAATAATTTCCCTCTTTCCTACACACTCTAACTTGAGCCTCACTATCCTCGTAAAAACTCTTCACTGCTTTCAGTAACCTACCTCCTACACCATACACCTGCAACATCTGCCACATTGCCCCCCTATCCACCCTGTCATACGCCTTTTCCAAATCCATAAATGCCACAAAGAATCTCTTTAGCCTTATCTAAATACTGTTCACTTATATGTTTCACTGTAAACACCTGGTCCACACACCCCCTATATATATATATATATAGAAAGGACTTGATTTTAAATGCTAATATAAAAATTTATGATTTTGTACCAGGGGAGCCTTAGAAAGTTTACCTAACCTTATTATAAAAACAAACGCAATTTAATTTAGCCTAATCCAAATAAATATATTTTACATAGGTTCACAATAATTTAATAATAAACAAATATATATATAATATATATATAATATATATATATATTATATATATATATATAATATAAATATATATATATATATATATATATAAATATATATATATAATATATATATATATATATATAATATATATATATACATTACTTTAAAACGTTTGGTCAACTCGAAAATTAATCGAGAAAAGGCCAGTTATTTTTTTTGATATTCATATGCAATTACAAAGTTCTCCAAGGAAAAGTTGAACTGGTCAAATTCCTTAAATTACGAGGCTCTCGGATCAACACTCCCTTGAGAGGAGGATTGATCTAAGGAAAGAAAGGGTAGCTCCGATTCCTTGGATGAAGAATTCTTCACCAGCATCAAGGCAGCACCTCCTTGGAAGACAAATAAGGCAGATGTCTAAAAACATTTTCTTTTTTTTTATTAATTTTGCCCTATTTCTAAAGATTGCTAAAATATTTTGCATTTACTTACTCTAAATACCACAACAAAATTTCTGGGCTACAAAGAGTCAGGGAATGTATGTAGTATATAGTGGAGTTATATTTATTAACTGTTGCTAAAGTGTCAAGAATTGCAACTCCCCAAACACGAGAAATTTACTCTCAAATCATCATCCAGCGAAGTACACAACCCAACTGCAAAACTTTCTTAGGTAGCAGACAATCTAAAGTAATTATGCAAATAATTAATGTCGAATACAGAATGGAACACTTAAAAACAAAACAGCATCAGTGATACTCCTCAAAACAATTACATGAAAAATTGTTTGGTATATTAGAGCGCAATACGCAGGAAATACGGTATACAGGAGTAACCTTCCTCTGTAGAATAAATAAAGTCATCTCCAGATTATCTAAGAGTCCTACATATCTCGGAAGAAAGAGGCCAGTGATTTGAACCCGAGTTGGCTGCACGTGAGACCCAGGCATCTGAGTCTTTTCAGGTCAAGACTATTAAGTAACGAGTACTAATCCCGTAATGACTGTGGGGGTCAACTTAATGCCTCGTTCGGGGGTCAACTTGATGCCTCGCTCTACTCTGCAGCTTCCTGTGCGAAGGTTGTTGACACTGCCAGTGTCTGTAATGACGGAGAGAGAGAGAGAGAGAGAGAGAGAGAGAGAGAGAGAGAGAGAGAGAGAGAGAGAGAGAGAGAGAGGGAGAGAGAGAGAGGAAGAGAGAGAGAGAGAGAGAGAGAGAGAGAGAGAGAGAGAGGAGAGAGAGAGAGAGAGATAAAAGGCCCGGTGATCTGGTGGCTAAAGCTCTCGCTTCACACACGGAGGGCCCGGGTTCGATTCCCGGCGGGTGGAAACATTTCGACGCATTTCCTTACACCTGTTGTCATGCTCACCTAGCAGCAAATAGGTAACTGGGTGTTAGTCGACTGGTGTGGGTGGCATCCTGGGGAACAAGATTGAGGACCACAATGGAAATAAGTTAGACAGTCCTCGATGACGCACTGACTTTCTTGGGTTATCCTGGGTGGCTAACCCTCCGGGGTTAAAAATCCGAACGAAATCTTATCTTATCCTAAGAGATGCTACAACTACAACAAGTATTAGTTCTACTGCTACAGCCTCTATTTCTATTTCCATGTCACAACTTCTACTACTAAGGAGGCCTGGTCACAGACCGGGCCGCGGGGGCGTTGACCCCCGGAACTCTCTCCAGGTAAACTCCAGGTAAACTAACACACTATGCTAGGGCTGCTAATATTACTACTACTTCCATTGCTATCACTATCATTTCTACAAATAGTATTACATCTAAAACGCATGTGGAATGTTATATTAAGTAGGAGTTGTCACAGTTGCTTTTTGCCGATGACTTTGTGCTTTTGGGAGATTGTGAAGAGAAGTTCCGAAGGTTAGTGGACGAATTTGGGAGGGTGAGTAAAAGAAGAAAGTTAAAAATTAATATATGAAAAATCAAGGTGATGAGGGCAACAAAAAATTCAGATAATGAAAGATTGGGTATCAGATTGGATGGAAGGAGTATTGAGGAAGTGAATGTATTCAGATATGTGGGAGTGGACGTGTTGGCAGATGGGTCTATGAAAGGCAAGGTGAACCATAAAATTGATGAAGGGAAAAATATGGGTGGTGCACGGAGGCATCCGTCGAGAGAGGACGCTGGAGGCACTGGATGTTGTGGCCGTTGGCAACGTGTTGTGTAAATAATATGCAGCGAATTCGTAGTCTGGAGGTTAGGAGGTGCGGCGTTGCTAAAAGTATTACCCAGAGGGCTGAGGAAGAGTTGTTGAGGTGGTTCGGACATTTAGAGAGATGGAGCAAAATAGGATGACATGAAGGGTGTATAAATTTATAGTGGAGGGAAGGCGGGGTAGGGGTTGCCTTTGGAAAGGTTGGAGGGAGAAGCGTAAAGGAGGTTTTGTATGTGAGGGGCTTAGACATCCAGCAAACGTGTGTGAGCTGGTTAAAAAGGAGTGGAGGCAAGTGGTTATGTGATATCGTGTTGTTGGAGTGTGAGCAAGGTAACATTTATGAAAGGATTCAGGGAAACCGGTTATCTGAACCTGAGTCCTGCAGGTGGAAAGTACAATTCCTGCACTCTAAAGGAGGAGGATATTTGCCGGTTGGAGGAGTTGGGGATATTTGCTGGTTGGAAGGGTGTCCGAACTGTACCATCGACGTGCCTCTGGCAAGACAGTGATATATATATATATATATATATATATATATATATATATATATATATATATATATATAATATATATATATATATATAATATATATATATAATATGTATATATAAATATATATATAATATATATAATATATATATATATATATAAATATAAATATATATATATATATATGTGTGTGTGTGTGTGTGTGTTGTGTGTGGTGTGTGTGTGTCGTGCCGAATAGGCAGAACTTGCGATCTTGGCTTAAAAAGCAACGCTCATCTTGCCATATAGGACAAGTGAAAATTTGTGTATGCAATAATTTCGCCAAAATCATTCTGAACCTAACGAAAAAAATATATTTCACTGTGTTTGTTTAGTATTAAATTACTGTAAAC